TTCTACTAGAGATTCCGCTACACCTAACGATTCTATAAGACGAAATTACCCCAGTGAGTTATTCGCCAAATTGGGAGCGGAGCGAAGTGTGGAATATTTCGCAAAAACAACTCGCATACTTCTCCAAAGGCGTCTTGAAGTTCCTTATGTGGTGTATTTTCCAACGCAGAGCTGAGAAAGGGGCTGGGTAGTAAATCTCTTATTTACCGTGACATAAACTTGAAATTGTAAACTTAAAAAGCGCTCGCCATTCTAATCGATAGACGGATCTTGGTCATTATCCTCGCAACTGCCATTGAGTAATATTTTCCGAATATATCGATCGATCGGGCGAGCGATAAGTATCATCGATGGGAAAGGGGTAGAGCGTAAGTGTCAGAGGAAACGCTTGTCCAATTTTGAATCCTCAACACCAATGGTTCTCGGTCGCTTCTCACGTCGCAATGAGGCTAATGGTGACATTCCTCACCATAAAACGCACACTGAGGAAAACGAAACTATAGCCGGCTCTGGTGAGGACAGCTCTATGAACAACAACTACTCCTATGTGTGCATGCAGATCTAAGCTCACCCAAATCAGACGCCTCCTCCTCCTCACTAAGCAGTCCATACTTGGTTAACTACGTTCAGACGACCAGTGTGTCAGAAGGTCGTCACGGTCGCGAAATGGGTGACCAGGTGCAGCTCCTTACCAACGTGGTGAGTCTCTGTTATTCCCATACACCCTTACCCCAACAGCTTCAGATAGGATCAGTGGTCGGCGGCCCTTCAGTGCATGCCCTGCCTACTTCTCAAGGTGGTTTGTTCACGCAACACTTCCCGGCAATGCTTCCGATAGCCTCACGTACTTCAGCATATTTGGTGTTGTCGCTCACCTGTGGGCAGCTTCAGGTGAGAGCCTCCCTATATGAAAGATTCATGCTGTACACTTCTACCCGAATCCGTAGATAAACTCCTATGATAAGGAAAGCGAACACTTGTGCTCTCAATTTACTCAGATAACCACACTTCATAAATTCACCGACCAATCAGCGACCAGCACCCTAGCCGACCTCAGCGAGTCGGATCTAACGGAACTGCTTGAGTCTAGCCTAGCGTTCGTCCTGCAACCAACAGGCTCGGCTCTGAGGCACTTACCTGTCAAAGGCCCTAAAGATGCAGATCCTATCGCTAAGGCGTTTGGCAAGGAAGCCTGTTCCATCCGGAGGTATCACCAACAGAAGTGTCCTACCAGTCTAGTCAATGTTGCAGATACACTCACTCGGTGAGCGGAGCGACGGTGTTTGATTTATGTATCGATCTATTCAGCATGCGTATCGTTAGACACCTCTTTCCGAAGCTAGCCTTCTCCAAGGGACGCCAAACTGATATTTTTGTCACTAATTTCACCAATCGGACATGTTTATGTGCCTTCCGACTTGAGGCAACCGATTCCCTGCTCAGTATTGTGTCTGGCTAGCGTCATTCGTGTATTGCATCATTGGGACACGTACATTATCGATCTCCTCTCTACTACTCGACGTCTGTGGAAGGAGAATCTATCCGAAACATGCACGGATTCTATCTAAGACGTCAACGGTCCGATGGACCCTGGCGCATCTGACTCTGTTGAAGGTTGCGTTGCTAGTCGGGAGGACGAGATATCCTTGGTAGTGGATTCGTCTGGGCATGTTATGTTGAGTATTGGATGGTTGATCCGTCTGATGTCAACACCTTGAGTCGTGTAGATTGTACAAAGAGACGAAGAAATGGGATTTAGATTGTTTGTAACAGTCGCTAGTTCAAGTCCCGGTGAGGTCGTTTTCGGAGGGCTTCCTCACCGTAATGGTGCAGAACAGTTTCGGTTGATTCGCGACACAATCAAAATTAATATTTTCCGCTGGAGATACGAGCAACGCTCTTCGGAAGGATATGCGTCTGGTGAGGTCGACTGACATTGTCGTTGAAAGAGAATTGATTGATCGGACGAATGCACAGAAAATGCGGAAGGTGAATCACACCAGATGGCAGTATATGTTCCGACCTCTGCACTCACTCCGCAAGTTTCGAGGATTTGCATTGATACTGCCTGATTGTGAGCGACCCTCCTAGTCACGACATACCAGGAACAGAGACTCCGGACCACTTCATAGTTCGAAAAGTGTCTCTCAGTGACGCGGTCGAGGTGGTCGATCTGAAAAGTCTTTGCGAAGACGGTATTAAAAGGTATTTGCAATGCTTTTTTCTACAGGGTGGTGCCCCCGAAGAGTTCACTCTTTGTGATTTCGCGGTACGTGACATTTCATGAACAAAAAAAATACGTATATTATAAACTATCGTCTAACACAGAATCGAGAGACGGCGTACCGGTTTTGACAATCATACACCGCGAAATAACCAGGGGTGGCCCTTCTTTAGAGCACCTGTTAAAGGTCTCTTCACCACTGCGGTGACACTACTTAGATTAGGTGGCACTCTGCATGAAGCTAAGCTCGACACCGACACATGTATCAGAATCATGTGTGAGGTCGCCAAGTGCGATCCGTCTATGATCACGTATGCTGGACGTGGAGCTAAGGGGGCCGACACTAATTTGACAACATCCTAAAGTCTCCGATGATAATTTCACCATATTATCTCTGTTGGTCATATTTATGAATGACTCGGAAAATCGAGTTTGGAACTCAAACTTATAACTACTCGAATAAACTGAATACATCCAACAGATCCTAACTCCTGATAGAATCCTCTTGTTTCATAGCAACAGTCTGCAATATAGCTCTGGAACCTGCCATAGGTGTGTGCATTTTATGACGGAGAATGCCAGGATATTTGCGAGCCCAGTCTTATCGAGGCGCTTCACTGTTTTACTCATACCAAATATCGGTTCAAAATCGAACGATGGATGTTGCTTCATCAACATACACCTGTAGAATTATCAAGGCATTTCCGCACGATGAACGTGCCTCGTGAGACAATAGGTTCACTTTTTATGGTATTGGTATGTGATTCC